GTCAATGACATGAGACAAAGTATATGTGAACTGCTGTATGGAAAGTGAATTTGCTCTGTAAATCTTCACCCACATCACAATTAAATAAATAAATAAATATATATATATTTTTTTTAAAAAAAGAGTATTGTCTGTGAATTCTGTGTGGCCATTGCAATGAATTATTGAACCCAGGAGAGAAGTAGAGAGTGCAGGGAGGGGGTGACATTTGGTGTTGGAATTGGTAAAAAGTTGGAGGGTAGCAGCACGTCTGACCTCAACCTCATAGAAACCAGCCTTGGGCAGTCACGCCCCACACAGTTCCCAAGGGTGTCAATCTTCACAGAAGCAGAAGTAATAAAACACTGAATAATAACAACAGTGACTGTACACAGACCACTTACATACCCAGACTCAAAATATGTCCACATTTTTCCATATTTGCTATAAGTAGATATCATACCCCACCCTCCTAAGAGTTCAGCATGTGTTTCCCAGGAAGGACATTATCCCACACATCCATGGGGCTGTTATCACACCTAGTTCCCGAAATCATCCAATATTTAGTCCACATCCAGATGCTTTTTGTAATTTTTTGAAAACCAGGATCCAATCGCAGTGTCTCTCATGATGTTTAGCTGTGATGTTCTAGCCCCATGTCTTCACGACATTCTCTGAAAGTAAAGGGGTGGTCGTCGAGTCCTGGATTCGTCGGGGTGTTTCCTCCGGCAAGGTTCTCCCTCCAACCCTGTATTTCCAGTGGCTCTGGGAGTTCTGTTGAGAGGCCTGATTAGATTAGGGTGGTGTTCTGGGTAAGGATACGGCACAGGCTACACCCTGAGTGTCCCGCGTCTCCACCTAAGGAAACACACCTCCCCAATAAGAGACCTGGCTTGACCACTGGTTGGAAGTGGAGACTGGCGAGTTCACCAGCAACAGTGCCTCTATGTGAATGCACCACACCGGAATCTGTGGTCGCAAGGCCGGCACCAGGCAAACACTCACCTCCAGCCACACTCGCCTGACGGTCTTGGCGTCCTTGAATCAGCCTGAAGCGTTTCACGGGGGCTGTAAAATGGTGATTTCTATCTTCCCTGCTACATTAACTGGTATTCTTCTGTAAAGAAGAGCCTTCCCTTATCAACTGA